TTTACTTCTAATTCTATTAGTTTTCTGTGTAACTTATTATAGTATTCTCTCTGATGTGTGTTGGGTGCCTAAATGACTACAAGTAATATTTTTTTTTTTGTTTTATTGAGATTTCAATCATTAGTGTCCTGCATACATTTGTTTGGGATTTAACCTTTCCTTTATATAAACCGCTATCCCTCTTTTTTTTGTTTCTGCCAATGCTACAAATAATTTCTCTAGTTTGGGGGCTTCCAAAAAAGCACTTTTCCCTTTAGGAATGTGCACTTCTTGTAGGCATACTATTTCCATGTTCAGTTTTTGGAGTCTGGTAATTGTTTGTCTTCGTTTTATTGGTGCATTCGATCCATTTATGTTGATTGATATTAAATTCACCTCTTCCTCCATTAAATTACTTATTTGTCCTTCCTGCTTCCCTTTTTTGTGTTACTCCCCTCTGCTGTCTTGTTCTTACACCCTCTCTGTATTGGTTTCCGGTCTCCAACTGCTCTTCCTATCCTCGATTTGATTCGTTTTCTTCTTGACTTTTGGATTCTAATTCCTCTCTACTTTCTAATTCCTCTCCAAAGTTTTGTTCGCTGAATTCCTGAGCCTTTTCTACCGTATCTATTCTTATTTTTTTATCTTCCCAGGATATTAACATGCCCTCTGATATTAACCATCGGAACATGATTCTATGATTAGTCAATTTAGCAGAGAGGAATTGATAATTCCTCCGTTGCTCACAAATTCTTTTGGTTAATTGTTCTAATATTATGATCTCCTTCCCTTTAAACATCAGTTTGTCTTCCCTTGTCTTTCTGTAAATTTCGTCACGAATTGATTTCTTTGTGAATCTGACATGAATTTCACGTGGTAGTTATGTCGTTTCGCATAATCTGTATAAATTTGATAAGCCTCGTCAATACTATTCCCTTATTTATTTATTTATTTATTTATTTATTTATTTATTTATTTATTTATTTTTAAATTTATATACCGCCCTTCTCCCTGAGGACTCAGGGCGGTGTACAGCCAGAATTAAAAAACATGAAATACAAATATTAAAAACAATTAAAATATATATAAATTTGGCCCAAAATTAAAAATACAAACCAATTAAAACATTTAAAATTTCTTCTTAAGCCCGGCTTGCTGGAAAAAGTGGGTTTTAAGGGCACGGCGGAAGGCACTAAGGTCTTGGATTCTCCTTATCTCAGGGGGCAACTGATTCCAGAGGGTAGGTGCCCCCACAGAGAAGGCCCTCCCCCTGGGAGTCACCAGCCTACATTGATTGGCTGATGGCACCCTGAGGAGGCCCTCTCTGTGGGAGCGCACGGGACGATGGGAGGTCGTCGGTAGCACCAGGCGGTCTCGAAGATAGCTAGGCCCGATGCCATGGAGCGCTTTAAAGGTGATAACCAACACCTTGAAGTGCACCCAGAAGACCACCGGGAGCCAGTGCAGCTCACGCAGGAGCGGTGTTACATGGGAGCGCCATGCTGCTCCCATCACTACCCGCGCTGCTGCATTCTGGACCAGTTGGAGCCTCCAGGTGTTCTTCAAGGGGAGCCCCATGTAGAGAGCGTTGCAGTAATCAAGGCGAGAGGTGACGAGGGCATGAGTGACTGTGCACAGGGAATCCCAATCAAGAAAGGGCCGCAACTGGGGAATCAGGCGAACCTGACAAAAGGTCCCCCTAGTTACAGCTGTCAGATGTTCCTCCAAGGACAGCTGCATATCCAGGAGGACTCCCAGATTGCGAGCCCTTTCTGTGGGGGCCAAAGACTCGCCCCCAATAGTCAGTGATGGAGTCAACTGACTATATCGGGATGTCGGGAGCCACAGCCACTCAGTCTTGGAAGGGTTAAGCTTGAGCCTGTTCCTCCCCATCCAGATCCGCACGGCCTCCAGGCACTGGGACATCACTTCAAGGGCATCATTGGGGTGGCCTGGGGTGGAGATGTACAGCTGGGTGTCATCAGCGTACTGGTGGTATCTCACCCCAAAGCCACGGATGATCTCGCCCAGCGGCTTTACATAAATGTTGAACAGAAGGGGTGAGAGGACCGATCCCTGTGGCACTCCACAGATGAGAGGCCTCGAGGTCGACCTCTGCCCCCCTGCCAACACAAACTGCGACCGGTTGGAGAGAAAGGAGGAGAACCACCGCAACACGGTGCCCCCCACCCCCAACCCTGCCAACCTGTGCAACATGATACCATGGTCGATGGTATCAAAAGCCACTGAGAGATCTAACAGGACCAGAACAGAGGAGCAGCCCCTGTCCCGAGCCCTCCAGAGATCATCAACCAACGCGACCAATGCCCTTTTCGTGCTGTGCCCAGACCTGAAACCCGACTGGAACGGATCTAGATAAGATGTTTCCTCCAGGAATTGTGGGAACTGTCGCGCGACCACACTCTCAACAACCTTCGCCATGAAGCGAAGGTTGGAGACAGGACGGTAGTTGGCCAATATTGCCGGATCCAGGGACGGCTTCTTGAGGAGAGGCCTCACCACCGCCTCTTTCAAGGCAGCGGGGAAGTGGCCCTCACTCAGCGAAGCATTGATAACACCCTGGAGCCAGCCTCGTGTAACCTCCCGGGAAGCCAGTACCAACCAGGAGGGACACGGGTCCAGTAAACATGTGGCCGCACTAAGTCTCCCCAAAATCCTGTCCACATCATCGGGAGTCACAGCGTCAAACTCCTCCCAGATAACATTCTCAAGACTATTCCTCATCACTCTGCCCTGATCTACCCAGTCAGAGTCCAAATCCCCCCGGATCTGAGCGATTTTGTCATACAGGTATTGTCCAAAATCCTCCGCCCTGCCTTCCAAGGGATCCTCCCGCACGCCCGGATGGAGCAGGGAGCGGGTCACCCTAAGCAGGGCGGCCGGACAATTCCCTGATGACGCAATAGAGGCGGAAAAGTTATTAAACTTTGCCATCTTTATCGCCACTAGGTAGGCCTTAATATGCGACCTTACCAGTGTTCGATCAGATTCAGCGAGACTGGCCCTCCAACCGCTCTCCAGGCGTCTTTTCCGGTGCTTCATTTCCCTCAGCTCCTCAGTGAACCAAGGAGCCGCACGGGATCGGCACTGGGTCAGAGGCCGCAAAGGCACGACTCGGTCCAAGGCCCCACCAGCCGCCCGATCCCAGGCGGCTACCAGGTCCTCGGCCGAGTCATGTGCTAGAACCTCAGGAAATGGCCCAAGCTCCATCTGGAACCTCTCAGGATCCATCAGGCGCCTGGGGCGGATCCATCTAATTGGATCCGCCTCCCTGCGGCAGGGGGCAGCGGTTCGAAGATCCAGGCGAAGGACTGTGTGGTCTGTCCATGACAAGGGTTCCATGTCTATATCCCCAATAACAAGACCACTCAACCACTGGCCAGAGACAAAAATCAGGTCCAGAGTGTGACCTCCCCTGTGAGTAGGGCCATGAACTAACTGGGTCAGGTCCATGGCCGTCATGGAAGCCATGAACTCCCGAGCCACCTCAGACGTTTCACCAGCGGATGGCAAGTTGAAATCACCCATGACTAAAAGCCTGGGTGTATCTACTGCCACCGTGGCTATCACGTCGAGTAGCTCAGGTAGGGCTGTTGCTACGCGGCAGGGAGCCAGGTACGTAAGCAACAAGCCCATCTGAACCCCATGACCCCACCTCACAAGGAGGGACTCACATCCGGCTATCTGAGGCACAGTGGTCTCCCTCGGCCCCAGATCCTCGTTAATAATAACCGCCACCACCCCCCTGCCCCTCCCCTGGGCCCTCGGCTGATGGAATGCTCTGAAGCCTGGTGGGCACATTTCGACCAGAGGGACGCCGCCCTCCGGGCCCAACCACGTCTCCGTAATACCCGCCAGGTGTGCTCCACCCTCTTGAATAAGATCGTGAATGAGGGGGGCCTTATTTACCACGGACCTGGCGTTGCACAGCATCAGCCGAAGGCCCAGATCCTGAATATCTAAGCCACCTAGTGTCCGAGCGGAGCAAGTGCGAGCCCCCGACACATGATAAGGTCCCCTGCTCCCGCAATATCTGCCTCTCCTATTCACCGTGCTGATGGAAAATTCCTCCTCCGGATAGTCCTCCAGCCCCTCCCCGATCCCTCGACCTGCACCCTCCAAACCGTCCCCCTGTGCCGGGCTCGGCTCTGACCCTAGTGGGTTCGTCCCCCCCAAACCCCTTGGTCTTCCTCCCGGTTCCCCTTAAAAAAAATCATTATTCCCACCCCTTAAAAATTTCATTAAAAATTTACGTAAAAAACCCCTCAACCCCCTCTTTGCTGCATGCCATTTCCTGCCTATCTATATGTAGGGGTTCTGCTAGTAATTCCACTATTAGTTTATATAGATCCTCTTCTCTGTTTTCTACCACATTTTGAAATCTTAAGTAATAGGAGGATCTGTCTAGCTCAAGACAGGTCACTGTCTCCTCCAACTCCTTTTTCTCCATTTCCCATCTCTCTTCTGCAGCTTCCAGTTTCTTTTCGGTTCTCTCTACCTTGGCCTCTATTATGTTTATTTTTTGCTCATTGTTTGCTATTGATTCCTGAATCTTTTCCATTTTGTCATCCAATTTTCTTGTGTCTCCCTTCACTTCACCCATATCCCCTTTCATTTCTTCATGATTTTTTTGCATTATTTCCTGCATTTTCATCATGACCTCTTGAATCATATTCAAAGATGTCTGCATGTTCTGCACAGCTGCTGCTGTTCCTAATTTTTCAGTAGATGGCATATGTGTTATTAATTTTTGCCCTGCAGGTGAAGCTGTCACAGGGGTTCTTTTTTACTGTTTTTGTAATTGTAGCTGTATTTGACATTTTAATTTTTTGTAGAAAAATTTTTCCATAACACCATATATATCTAAGTTTTTACCCCAAGTTGTATCTATAGTTCTATTTCTAATCTTTCTTCTTAATCTTAAATCAATATAGAATACCGGAATTTCAATAGCAATAGCAATTATCAATTATATCAGTTCACAATTAATTTCAGGTCTATACAATGAGAAAATAGATGTATTTCCTATTATTGAATTAATTAAATTATTACACAATATCTAGAAGAAAAGGAAAGAAAAGTTAAGACATTAGGGTGGATCATCAAATGTTGAAGAAGGGAGGGGAATCACATATAGTAAAAATTATATAACAATATTTAGTATTATCTATATTAAATCTTAGCTAACAAGTTCCAGAGTTACATAAAGAAAAAATTGGATTAACTATAAATTTCCAATCTCATACAAATATATGGTAATCCTTTACCAGTCAGTATATTGGTTGATTTAATATCTCCAGTCAATAAGTCTTCCTTCTGTAAATCAATGTTCTTTCTTCTTCACTCTTTCACAGTTCATTTTTTTTCTCCTCCTGTTCTCCAAACTTAAAGATGGCAGCTTTCGATTTGTCTAGTCACTGTCACTTCCTCCATCTCTATCTCCAAAGGCTATTCTTTACTTTCTTTTTTCTCCGACCTGTTCACCACCTACACACACCCTCAGTACCTCCTCACAGTCACAGTCACAATCCCAGTTCCAGTTTTTCTTTGTGATTTTCTCATCAATCCAATCCACAATCCACTATCCTATCTCTCTCAGCACCGCTCGTAAATCACTTGCACTCTCCACCAATCTTTCTTCCACTCCCACTGCTAAGGAGCCGCTTTTTTCCTCTTTAGAGACTCACTTTTTCCCCCCCGTCTGCCACCTCTACAGTTTCATTGAGACACTTCAGATATTTTGCCTCTTGTAAAACTCTTCTCACTGATGCTTCTTGTTGCTTCTCACTATTCTGCTTCCTCATTTTTCATTTGGGTCGCCATGTCTCCGGACCTGGCTCTGACAGCCGGTCTCTTCCACTCTGGATTCAGGGGGCTCCACCCTCCTTGGTGGAGGATTGCCTTTCACTCCACCACCTCTGGGCTATCCCCTTTCGTTTGCTGTCCTCTTCAAGGTTCGGTGTTGCCGTTATCGGCTTCCAGACATGGAAAATCGGGCAGGAGAAGTGGAGATTCCAATTCCTTGCACTGCACCAGCATGACGGTACCCCGGAAGTCGGGATGTAAAATGTCTTATTCTGGCACTCCGGTGCTATTTTTTAAAAATCCAGACTCTGGCCAAAGGATTATTAGAAAATTCTGACCAAAAGCTCCACACCTTTATAAAACCATGTCTATTGTAAAAACCAAAGTTTTCTTCCAAGTTGTCCTTCATGGCCTGCTACAGAAGAGAAGTTTCAAATGGGACAAATGCTTCTGTTCCCATGGCTGGCTTTGAGTAGGTCTATTAGATTCCACTTTCTATACTTATCTAACCTTACACACACACACAGAACAAAGGTTCTTGGATGTATACGTGCATGAGTGTACATAAATAATACAACACACACACACACAATGGTGTATATATCTTCCTGCATGTGTACATATATGAATGGATATGTACAAAAGGTGAACCTGGACTTCCAATTGTACTTCCGGCGCCTTCGGAAGCCTGGACCGTGAGTTCCGTGAGACCCTTATCGGAGGGTCCAAATCGGGACCATAGCCAGCCTGGAGGGGTGGCAAAGTAAAGGGGGACAGCCCTAGCAGGTAACAGCTGCATCTCCCTTCCCTGACTAGAGAAGCCCCCTCAGCCAATGACGAGGAGGAGCAGCAGCAAACATGGCTGTCATGAAGCTGAAGACAGCCTTAATACACAAGACTGTGTAGGAGCGGAGAAAGTGAGTGGTATGTAATCTGGGTAAGAGAATATTTTCCATTGAAAAATGACCCCAAGAAATTCAAGGAGAAAGCATTTTTGAACTATTTGCTAGCGGTGAAATAAGCACAATAAAAAAAAAAAACTCAGAAAGGAGGAACTGGAAGCGTCGCGGCGAGACTGGCTGGAAAATAGCGGGCTCCGATGAGCCTTGCGAAAATCCAGGCAGACAAACCGCTGTCAGGAGGTCTTCAGACCGGATCCATCCTGTAGGGACGGTGAAGAAGGAGAGGCACCTCGGACAACCAAGAGGAACAGGAAAGTCGGAGGAAACTCTTCAATGCGGAGGCAGCAGCCATTGCGGCCCTCATGAAGATGGGGCAACCGGAATAAGTTTTGTGCAGGAGTGGTGATTTGGACAGAGTATTTGTACTGGGTGAGCGATTGGCCAACTCATAGGTAAAAAAGAACTATTTTAAAATTTTCAAAAGAAGTCCCGGTGAGCAAATAGCAGCTAATTAGCATTGGGGAATCTTAATGGAGGGAGAACAAAACGGAAGTCAGAGCACTAAAGCCCAGAACGGGGTTTGATATTTGGAGTGGAAATTGGATTTGGAGACATTAAAATTATTATAAGAAAAAGAAACCCGAAAGAAAATAGTTTCTAAACAGGATTGAATATAATTTTAAAAGTTTTGAACTTTGAAGGGAGAACAAAGAAAAATTCAAAATAGAAAAGCCCTGTAAAGGGAATTTTTCAATTGGATTTGGATTTAAAATTGGATTTTAAACTGGAATTTGGGATATATAAAATCAAGAAGAGAAAGAAGGAATTTGAAAAGCATTGGATAAGCAGATTTAATAAACAATTTGGATATTTTGTGACTTTGTTGGTTTGAAACTTGTGGATTGGAGAGAGACATCTGCCGGTGGAAAAAAAGTACTACAACAAACAATTTTAAATCTGGAAAAAATTACAGTGACCTTGAGCTAAAAGAGCCGTGAGAAGTTTGAAGGAGGATTTGTTTTCTTTTAAGCTGTTTGATCTCGACAACTAAAGGAGATGGGAAATAACAAAACTGTAAATTGGAGTTAAAAGCAAACTAGAATGTCAAAATGTAGCAGGAACTAATTGAGATAGTCAAAATGATGCATGTATCATTCAATCTTGATAGAAAAGGAGGAATTGTGTCAGAACATATTCAACTCGATAAAGAGACTAAGAATGAGATGCAAGAAAACAGCACTGAAGATTTCAACATTGATGATGAAAAATTAAATGTTTACATTGGAAGTAACAATGAAAAAAGAGAAGGGATAGGAGGAAACAACCTAAAAAAAGAAGCAAACTAAGGGAAGAAAAAGAAAGGGAAAAAGGCTAGAGAAAAATATTTTTAATGATTTCACTGGAATTAACAGTGGCAAAAATAAAGAAGTTAGGACGAAACAAGAGAGAAAAAAAGGGGGAAAGGATTAAGCAAAAAGTTAAATGATTACACTGAGATCAACAGTTGGGAAATAAGAAAAGTGAGAGGAGAAAAGGGGAATAGAACAGATGGGAATTTAGGGCAAACTAGATGTGTAAAGCACTTAAAAGTCAAAGAAAGGATACAGAAGAAAAGACATAATAACTATAAAAAGAAAAAAAGAAAATGAGAGCATGAGATAAAGGGATCACTAGTTCCAATGGATCTACTCTGAGTAAGGCTAAATCCAATTCTATTTGTCTATTGAAGGTCTGCAATTATGGCAGACAGAATTCCAAAGTACGGTTGCACAAGTTTGTTTTTCTTAGAAGAAAATCTGTTCCACACTTTTCTCACAATACAAGCTGCACGTTATTTTGGCTGTAATCTTGTAATGTTGCCAAACCTGAGGCATTCACATCTGAACTCTACAGCCTGTAACCACCTTTTAATCTAAGTGTATTAAGGGTTTGTGTATATATCAGTTACCCAAGGAAGCAGCGTTATGAGACCAGGGACAGCACTGAGCAATCTTGAGACTAAGATCTAGGAGCAAACGTGTGCAAAGCGGGGTGCTAGTCAAAAGATGTGCCTCACATACCTGGAGCAAGTTGCGAGCAAGGCGGGTCTTCCCCGTGTACAGCAAGAGCAGGTGCTGGTTCAAGGTGTGGATGAAGCCTTCCGGTGGGGTGATCTCTTCCACTTCGATCTTCAGTGGCAGCTGGGCTTTCGAGCGCCCAATCTTAAGCCCTGGAACCAGCCCGCCCACCTGGTCTTGCCATCCACCACCTGAAAAGGACAGTGCAGGGGTTCAGGCCCAGGCCAAGAAGTTCCGAGTCCAGGAGCTTCTGCTCACTATTACACAGCAACCATGCGAAATGGGCGAGACAGGCCGAGAGCAGGTCCTCCGTCTCAACTTCCCTTTCAGGTACAAAGTGAAAGTTCTAATAAAGTCCTGCGACCAGGGGGGAGTGTGTAAGGATGCGCTGTCCTTGCCAGAGATCAAAGAGGGACTGGTAGACTTCATGGCATTTTCTCAGAATCTGAGAGTCAGAAGGGAAGGGGCCTCCAGGCACATCTAGTCCAACCCCCAGACTGTCTGAAGACCTCCAGGGAACACGCAGCTGATTCTGCCTTCCCATCAAGGCCTTTTTTCTAATACCTAAACTGAATCCCGTTCCCCACCTTTTGGTATCTGGTGTTCTTGGTCCTGCTCTCTGGGGATGTGGAGAATGGGTCCGCTCTATGGGATAATGCTTACTTCTCTGAAGGGAGCCACCTCATCTCCCCTCAGATCGCTTCACCTTCCTTTAAATAGAGCTAGTTTTCCCTCCTATTCATCTAGCCTAAACTCACTTCAGGTTGTCAGTGTCCATTTTAGAGTCCAGTGCTCAGAACCAGGCAGAATATTCCACGTGGTACCTGACTGAGTAACATCATGGGCAATTGCTTCTTGTGACCTGGACTCCCAGCTCCTGTTAATACATCCAAAAGGAGCCTTTACCTCTTTAAGCAGCTGCCACACAGGGCAGACTTATTTTTCTCTTCTACTGATGCTAGGAAGGGCTGGTCTAGGCGGCAACAGGACAAACTCCTTACCTGTGGTCAAAACCTGTTCCAAGTGCAGCACCGCATGAATGAGGGACTCTACACCAGCGCAGCGCCCAGATACGCGATAGAGCGATGCGATCACTGCGCCTGCCAGGATGCTGCTTGTCCCTGCGGAAGAACACAAAGCGACACAAATGTGGCCTAGGGAAAAGGGAGCCGCCTTTCGCTCCTCTGCACGGAGGTCCCAAACGGACAAGGAGGGCGCTTGACCATCAGGTACGGGGAGGAGGAGAATTAAGAGCCTCCCACTTTGAATTCTCAAAAAACCTCAGAGCTGGAGGCGGATCATTTGGGAAAAGCTTTGGGAGGCCTCAATCCCTGAGATCTTCCCCGGAAGTACTTCACAAAATGGCAGGCTTGGTCATCAGGGCCAAATGGGGAAAGAGTGAAAGCCTGACAGGAAGGAGGGTAACTGGGCTGTTTGAAAAGGGCTATTTGTGAACCGGCTCTTTTCAGAGGGAGGTAGAAACAGAAAGAGGCAACTGCTGCCATAATGCACCAGCCTCATCCCCCTCCCACCTCAGGTCAGCCTGGCCAGGAACCTGATGGGCTTCTGGAAGGACCTGAAGGGCTGGTTTGGCCATCTGGCCTGGAGACCGGAGGGAGCGCACAGCCCGTGGCCCTGCTTTCCCAGGGGCTGCTTCGCAGGAATCTTGATTGTTTTGCATTGTTTTCTTTCTCTGCATAGTTGTTTTCTTTTGGGGAGGTGTCATTTGGCACGGTTCATGTTTTTATTGTAAGCCACTCAGAATCACTAATCTGGGATGGGCAGCTAGATGGATGGATGGACGGGTGGATGGATGAGGGGTCTTTGGTGCTCTATGAGCTTAGTTGTTTCCTTGCAAATGTTTCATTAGCCAAACTAGGTCACAGTGGCCAGTGCTAGTGCCAACAAGCTCAGAGAGCACCAAGGACCTTTCATTTCAACCCTGAACTATAAATATTCTATTTTATTGGGAATAAATGAATGATACAGAGAAGCAATTTCCAAGGCTTGCTTGGCTCTCAACCAACCCACAGCAAGCCGAGAGCCTCCACCTACCCAAGCCCGATCCATGGGGCAGATGAGACCAGGTGTGAAGCTCAAAGCCACCTCCGAAACGTTCCTGCAGCTGCTCTCGCAAGGTTTGGGGGGACAGGAGACTAACAATGTGAGTGCAAACCAAGGCTGCTTTGAGCAAGGCTCCTGGAAGAAGAGACAGAGTTGCAGCAAAGACCAGAGAATGGGCAGCCAAGCCCCTCAAACCTACCCTGGCCCTTTGTTTCAGAGCCCAGGTGCAAGGAAGCCTGAAGTGAGGAGCAGGCAAAGACCATCGGCCAAGAGTCGTCCCGAAGGTCCAGCCAAGACTCTGGAAAGAGCCTGAAGGCTTATGATGCAATGAAACAGGGGAGAGGGAGTCTAAAGGCCTCTCTCACTGAGGCACCACCAACATGAAAATGTTTCAGAAGAGGAAGGACAGAGCATTGGGCACGATTCACAGTACATCTCAAATGGCAGGAGAACCAAGTTAATCAAGCTATAAACATGTTCTTCCCATGTCCTGGGTGTCATTCAAGTTGGGTGAAAATGCTCTGCCAAATGATATATTCTACAAGCTACAAGCTAAGACACAACTTCTCCAGAATCCACAGGACATCATGGCAAGTGGCCCACCCTTTTGGCTCCACATTCCGATTCCTTTCTGGCTACAGGGAGGGACAGCTGGACGGAAGATGCAGGTTCTCACCTGGCATATGAGGCTGGCAGTAATCCCTCAGATCCTCTAGGTCGCGGCAGACCAATTCCACCACCACCTCTCCCTCCAGACTTCCACTGGTGCTGATCAGTTGCAATTCTGGTTTGGCAATGCGTCGTGCCTGGGCACCAATAGGCCTGCAGCCGTCTACCAGGACAGCCACATCCACCACTGCTCCACCGTGTTCATACGTGATTGGAGGGGTATCACTCCATCCCCCTAGAAAACACTGGTCCTGTTACCAAAGGTCATCAGATAGAACTCATGGACAAAGCTTGAGCTTCCACACCTCTTTTACAGCTGGTGGAATTTCTTGGCTCAAGCCTCACCTGGGCACACCAGGCATGATTTGGCACATCTCTTGCTCAATTCTGAACTGATCTAGTGAAAGCTAGGAAGAACTTTGAGGCTACAGATCATCATGAAGGACCAGGATGTGGGCTGGGCAGAAAGTGAATGCTCTGAAGGGCGTAAGATGATGCAGACTTCTTGCTACCCTTGTCCACAGGCAGAGAATGTTGCAGAGCTTCCACTACTACAGAATGGAGAGGGGGGAGGTTGAAACAAAAACGACACCCCTCTTCATTCCATGTAGAGAGTTTGCACCCAGTGGCAAGTTGATGGCAGGAGTTTCAAATTGCCTTCAGCAAGACTAGAAGCCGAAGGAGGAAGCCTGGAGAAGTATTGGCACTGGGAGTAAGTCATGTTCCCCACAACCAGCAATGATTGTTGGGCTTTAGGGCTGATGCAAAAAAGCTATGAGTAAACCTGATGGCAAAATAGATGGAGGAGTTCCTGGGGAAATAAAGTTTTGGAGCTGTTTCCTTGCGCTGCATCTCCTGCACGTTGCCTAACGCAGAAGAGAACAAAGCTGCAGCCTGGATGGAGGACAGTCCTTGCAGATGGGCGGGGCCTGAATCAGGCATCTTCCAACCTCGGTCTGCTCAGGCCTTTTGGCACGTGCCAATCCTTCCCCCCTTATCAGTTAACCAAACTTCCCCCAGGCCCTCATTCCCCCCAAGCTACAAACCAGGCAGATTTTAGCCAAGTATTTAGTACAGGGGCCCAGGTGCAGGTGGGCAAGCTCCTCTGGGCAGGCATCCACAGAGCCTCCGCTTGCCACCTACCGGAGAGGTCAATCCGTGCAGGGCACTCCACTCTCACCCAGCAGCCCAGGGCAGGCAGCTCCACTTGCCAGAAGCCGATGAACTTGGAGGAGAGCAGGATGGCCCTGCGGATGAGGATCTGCTCGGCCCCCTCGTAGTGTCGGGCAGCGCGAACCAGCAGGATGGGTCTGCAAGAGGAGGGGAACCAGGCTATTGGGGGCCTCTGGCGGGCACATCCCCTTTGGAAAGAGCCTTGAGGTTGTGCTGCCTTCAGAGACACCTTTCCGAAAAGCGGAGAAATTTTCCCAGAGCCACTGGAGCATGGCAGCCCTGCTGGACCCATCCAAGGGCCTCCGGGCTGCAAGGAAGGCTGGCAGGGGTGAAGCACCCCCCCCCATGTGCTGCACAGCCTCCAGCGAGTGGGTCAGGTGCTTGGCGGTAGTCGGGGGCAGATGCCAGCTGCCTGCCATTGGGCAAGGGGTCTTTCCAGGCAGCTCTCGGGCCAGGAGACAAACAGGGGCCCCCAAGTAGATGTGGGAAGCCTTGGCAGATCTGCAAAGACTGCCCTGTATCTCTCCCCCGCCCTTCCAGTACCTGCTTAGCCATTTCTTCCTCTCCATGGCAAGTGCCTTTACACCCTGAGCAATGTCTCCCTTCTCCAGTTGCTGGAAGGCAGCGGCCCAAGCAAGGTTGGCTGTGGGGCCACTCCGTAAGCCCCCCTCTCCTCTGGCCATGCAGCCCAGGAGATCTGCGATGCACGCCAGTGCCCGAGCAGCAATCCCCAGATCCTCAGTGGTGGCAGCCACTAGGAAGGAAGCAGAGCCAAGAATTCTCTCTCCTGCCCCACTGGCACCCTCCCCCCGGGGAACTCAAATCACCACCCTAGCACCTGGGCAGAGGGCTGGGCTAAAGAAAACTCTCCCCCCAACCAACAGTGGTGCCCCCTCCAACTTCCCAAGGTGGCCTGGCAAAGGAACATGCTCGGCCTGAGATAGAGGTCAGCAAATGGGGGAATTTGTGGGCATCCCAGACCCGCCTCCCTACCCTGGTCCAGGGTATCCAGCAGAGCCTCCCCAAAGCCCTCCAGGACGGCTGAGCGGATCAGAGGCAGGAGGCTGCAATTCTTCTGCTCCATCAGGACCCGCTGGACTTTGCGCTGGGCCTGTAGGACAAAGATGGCCCTGCGGGAGGCCAGTTCCGCCTCCTGGTCCAGACAGGCCCTCATCTCCTCCCAGGACATGCGCCAGGCCCTCCTCCAGGACTGCAACTGCCAGGTCTCTGGAGAGCCCAAGAGCCACAAGAGGCCCCCGAGGCCCAGGGGCTCCGAGACGCAGAGCACAGGGAAGAGACGGGCGTTCAGCAGGCAGCGCTTGTCTGGTGGGACATCCGGGCTCCACAGGTCCTGGCTCCTGCTCAGGTGAGAACAAGCAGGTGGCAGTGGCAACGCAAATGCTCGCTCCTGTCCCAGGGTAAGGGTCCTGAGGCAGGGCCAGTTCAGCAGATCCTAGAGGGCCAGCCCAGCAGAGGAATGAGCGGGGCTCAAGGGTGAAATCTAAAAAATTTTGCTACCGGTTCTGTGGGTGTGGCTTAATTAGTGGGCGGGGCTTGGTGGTAAGGTGACTGGGAGGGTGTGGCTTGTTGGTCAGGTAGGCGTGGCCAAGTCAATGTCACTTCTTTGCCCATTTTTAACCTACAAAACACAACACAACTGGCTCACCCACAATGTAAAAGCAGCTGTGCTAGACCCAAAATGGCCCCTGCAACAAGCAGGAACCTCACACAGCCACAAAAAGCCCGAAAAAACAACTTTCACACTTTACACAGATAAAATTCCACATACAGCTTTGTAAGATTTTGTGTGTTTGTGTAGTTAGAGTGAAACACTACAGGAACACACTAAATCTCAGAAAGCTGCACAAATATTATTTTATTTTAATTTATTTTTATTTTTATATAAAAGCAGCTAAATTTAAAACTTCCTAAACTTTAAATGGCTAGGTCTAAAAAAAGAACAACTAAAAAAAAACCCAATTAACTATTTTTTTAAGCTCCCAAAGGGGAAAAATACTTACCCAATAGAACAGGGGTCTCCAACCTTGGCAACTTTAAGACTTGTGGACTTCAACTCCCAGAATTCCTCAACCAGCTTTGCTTTGCTGGCTGAGGAATTCTGGGAGTTGAAGTCCACAACTCCCTGCCTGCTTGATTGCAGGCTGGGAGATTCAGTTGCTTGCTGATGCAATGGATTGCAGGGATTACAGCAAGGCATTGCGACCAACAGCTAAGGTAAGCAAGCTGAGGGGGGGAGAGGGAGGGATTTTTGCTACCCATTAGCAGGCAACTCAGCTGGGATCGTCAGAGCTTGGCTCGCTAGAGCCACTTAAAATAAAAAAAGGCTCTGATGATCGCGCGATTCAGCTGGGCATGGGGTGTGGGGGCAGGGATTTTTGCTACCGGTTCTCCGAACTGCCTGCCGCCATCGCTACCTACTCGCCCGAGCCGGTCCGAACCGGGAGCATTTCACCCCTGGCGGGGCTGCCTGCTACTGGGGGCTAGGCTGGCGCGCTGAGAGCAGGGCACCTCTTTGGCCAGAATTAAAACTGCATGTTTGCTAGCCAGCCTCTGTGTGAGGAAGAGAGGAAGATGCAGCAGGACTTGGAGAATGTTCTCTCAATCCCCCAAAGATACCGGACTCCGAATAAAAATGTATCACAGGAGTCTCCTAATCACTGCCACAACCACAATGGACCTCTCTTATTGTTTAGTTTGAGATTACGTGGTGGGGTGCAACAACCCCCCCTTTTAGTTTCTCTCTGCAGTCCCCCTTGAGCCCCCATCTAGGGGTGGGTCAAAGAGTGGGCCTAGGAGAGAAGTTGATTGTTACTGCATTGGTTTTGCCTCGTCCCATGAGGACTACTTGCTGGGCTAAATAAGTTTGGGCTAAATAAGTTTGTGTTCGCTGCAGGTTTTGTTTCATTTCTGGGCCACACTGAGTTCTTCAAAGGTTGAAAACAGACCAGATTCTAGAAACAACAGATTCAAATCAATCTGGCCTTGCAGCCCGCATCCTGCAGCTGCTTCCAGGAGAGGCATCGGGAACTATTCCAGCCCTGCAGCTGCCAGTTCTTGAAGAGTCTCCAAGAACATTACTCCAAGCCCCTTCGAGGCCCTCAACAAATTAACCCCGGGTTCTCCTCACACCCACAAGTGCCTGGTATCAAACAGAACCCATGATATGGAAACCCATCCTGTGACCACAGCTTCCCTGCTTCCGAATGGCTAGACATCCCACTGCTCTTTGTGAGCCCACCAGGCAGCATCCACAGGCAGGATTGAGGAGGTCCTTGGAGCATCATGGCCTCACCGAGGTGACACATACCGTATTCCAGTCCGGTGGTACAAGGCTGCCCATGGCAAATTCAAGAAGGTGCCATTCTCTTCGGTCGCTGTACCCTGTGGAGAACAATCTCTGTCTCAGAAGTAGCAACCCACTAGGGGAATATGTGACTGTCTCTGCTGGGAGACTTGTGGGCTCCCTTATGCAGGTAACTGCAGGTGCTATGCTGCTGCGAACACAGGCTGCTCGATTAGGAGGGCCAGGGGTCTGAGCCAGCTCCTCTGCATACTGCTAAAACCCTTGTGTCTGTAACCTTTACCTGGATGAAACCATGTGTCACAAGGCAGAACCTTTTCAACCAAGGGACTCCAAATAGACTAACTTAAATAATGCATCCAAAATCGAGGACCCATGACTCCCTTAGAACTGAAATTTGGCAAATTTTACAAAATATTTTATGGCATAAAAACTATCATAAAGCATTTTATGACATAGTATAAATGTCATAAACATTTCCTGTGCTGATGTTTGACTACGCTATATACTTCAGTGATGACTAATTTGAAGGCAGAAACATAGTCTGTGAAAGTACCCCTGAATTTTGAAGAACTTTCCCAGGGCATTAGATGCTCTGCCATTGTTGAAAGCATTGAGAACTCTGGTAAGGAAATCTCTCTGAAACCATCATTCAGGATTTGGTTTGTTCTTATGGACAGCTCAGGGGGCTGAGAAGGTGGGAACTTGCAGGAAACTTCCAGAAGCCTGGAGAAATCCCCAAAATGAGCATCTTGCACATACCTGCCAGTCATCATGACGTCCACTCAGAGTGAATACTTTGCAGCTCATGTGTCTCAGCCGGATAACATGTCCTTGAATGACCACGTCCTGAAGTAAGTGGCTTCTGAGGGTCGCAGAGGAGGCTACATCTAGCCCCGTGAGGAGGCAGCCAGAACGGATGTGTAAGGGGCCCTGAAGGAAGACCAAGCAGCCATCCGTCCCTGCTCAGAACAGGTCACACATGTCCTGGCCAGAACCTGGACACCTCAGTCCATAGGATTTGCCTTGGTGGCACCGCAACTGCTCTGCAGGCAGGCAGTCCCTGGCATGGTGCAACCCGGGCAGGTGGTCAAAGCGCCTCTTTAAAGAGACAGGCTCCATCCATACCTCTTGTTCTTAGGAACTGAAATGGGGGGGGGGGCTTGTTGCAGGCCTTCCAGTGTAACAGCACCCCATCCTGGGCCAGACCTGCAAGAAAGCCTTCTCCCAGGGACTCTCTGGGACGAGCGAGACATCAGCCCAGGATGCTTACGGGCTATAGTGATGAATTAGCTGCATGGTAGTCCAGAAACACTTGGACCACACTTGGTTCCAAGGGGGAAGAAAGACCACCCACCTCCAGGCTGCAGTGCTGGATGACGTTCCCTGGCCCCACAACCACAGCACCCCCCAGCAGGCAGTTGGTGACGGAACAACCTTCCTCCAGTAGACGCGGCTCCTGCATGGCACAGAAAGGGAAATGTCAGAAAATCTCTCCCGAACAGGGTTGGGTGGGGGAACTCTGAGGGACCCCCATTCCCTCTGCCCTCCTCGTCATAGGAGAGTGTGAAGAGGGCAAGCTGCAAAGAGGGACTTGCCTCCTCAACAGGAATTGGGGTGTGAGGAGGATTATTTATCCCGACTGCTGATTGCATGCAATGGCCATCTGCCTTCGGACTCCCACCACTCCCGTTTCCTAGCCAAGAGGCCACATCCATGAGGAGAAGGCTAGACGAGAACTTACATCCACATTGGAATGGGCCACCTTGCAGAAACCCCTGCTGTGGGCATCACTCGGCTGAGGGGTGAGGTGGTAGATGTGCTCACTGGCACATGAGGTCATGTAGTTATAGGTGGCATCAGGGAGGTAGGCTGGGGAGAGAAGGACTTCATGAACTTGCCAGCAGCCGTCACCGGCTCAAGGCCCTCAAGGGCCCCCAGTTCTGCCTGCCAAACTAGGGAGACTTTGGCTCTCCCTGGGAGGGAGGCAGGCCTCTCGCCCGCCCATTCTCCCCCCTCCCCCACCCTAGCCCCAAGCTGGGGTTCCAGATCTTCTCCTCTGCTGCTACAGCACCAGGCATGCAACGGGAGACTCACCCATTGTGAGTGGCAGCGTGCGGAGAGTCTTCCACAGCACAGTCCGGGCAGTCCGAGCTGCCCTGGAGCTCTGGACATCTCCTCCCACCATCCCTGTTCGGCGTCCGGCTACAAAGGCCTCCTCAGTCACTGCCTGGGCCATGCATAGGAGCAGGTCAAAGAAGAGAGACAGCTGGGGGGAGAAGAGAATCTTCACCCAGGGAAAAGCAGCTGCCAGGATGCATGTCGGTCTGCTTGGGGAAAGACGGTGCCCATTGGAGGCTGCCCTGGCTCCCAGTCTGCAACTCTCCCCCCCCCCCCCCCCCCCCCCCCCCCCCCCCCCCCCGCAGCTTGGGCTCTTCCCCTGGAAGACCGACTGGCTTCCTCCAGGGAGTGGGAGAGAGCCCTTCCCTTGGCTGTTCCTCTGCCTTCCCAAGTGGACGCCTGCCCCCATGAGTACCCAAACCAAGGGGGGCTCCTTTTGGCCCACCCGGCCCAGGCAGGGCTTTCCCACCTGAAGGGCCAGGGCTCCCGAGTCCAGCCCCATGTAGGTGCAGGCATTGAGTGGGGGGATGACGTGGGTGGCCAGAAGCTGCTCTGCTGCTCTGGAGGAGAAGAAGACGACCCCGCACACCTGCCAAAGAGAAAAGGAGGGCAGCTCCGGCTTTGTGGGTCTGAGGCCGCCCCCTCACATGCCAGTCCACAGGGTGGACTCAGTCCCACCAGGCTCCCACTCACCAAGGGGACCTTCCCATCGGGCCCCAGGCACCGCTGGATCTCCTCCTCTGAGCTCTGGTGGAGGATGTCTTGCACCGCCCCCTGGGGACACACAAGGGCTGAATTAGCCTTGGCTGGTCCTCCTGCCGGACCCGGTGGGGGTGGGGATGTGTGTGAACTGCAGGTCGTGGCTCCTCTGATGCTGCTGGCAGGGAAAGCACCCAGGCAGCCCCGGAGGGGGGCAAAGGGGCTGCACCTCTCAGGCAGCCACTGCTGGGCCCATCCTTAGGCTGCACCCCCCACCCCAAATGGCAGGAAAGAGCTACGAGGAGGGAAGGTCAGTGCTGGGATAGGATCCCAGGAAGAAAGCAGGGGAGGGGGCACAGTCCCCTCCAGGACCCTATGCCCTCTCCTCCTTGGGGAGGCTAGGAACAGCCCTGCCTCGCCCAGCCAGCAACATCTGGCCGGCCAGAGAGAAGATCCATTTCCTTTTCCAGGCAGCCTCAGCAAGGGCACCCCCAGCTGCCCCTTTGTGCCCCACAGGAACCTCTCGGATAGCCTGGACTCCAGACTGCTTGCCGGGAGAACAAGAAGGCCAGAACCACCGTGGCTCTCCCTAAATGGGGCTGAGATGCTTATTTGGAGACTGTGATCCCTTCACGTATTTCTTGATAAAATCCAGATGTTATTTAGACTCGGCTTTTGCCCTCAGTCAGAGCCTCCAAAACCCTGTTTTTGTTATCTCCGAGTTGGCTGAAACCCTAGCAAATAATTAGGATTTTTCTTACGGCCAAGACAGAGTCCTTCGTTATTTTGGTCTTACTTTATGTTATACTCTTGTTAGCCGCCTTTGGCAAGAGGTGACATTTTAGAGAGAGCAAACTTTTTGAACTGCATGGGGAAAGCCAGGGAGAAACCTCTGTGTTGAAGATTATGAGGCACAGGAAGAAAGTGCCTCTGCCTACATAAGCAACCTTTCTGGGGGGCACCTGAGAATCCACAGAGTAGACGCCATGGTGCCTGGCATAGGAGACGCTGGCGGGCACTGCAACCACTTTCACTCCCTGGAAGCTCTGCCAGTCAATTTCTGCAGGGCGAAATGAGTTTCATTAAGCATCCAGCCCTCCCTCTGAGAGCCGTCAAGCCCCACAGGTCTTCTCAGCAGGAATCAGGGCCCCAAAGCAGGCCCTTCTAGGCCAGAAGGCCCAGCACAGGGGCTCTTCCCTCCTCCAGCGGCCCATCCCACTCTTGCCTCTGTGATGAAGGCACCCAACAAGGCAGGGGTGAGGGGCCCACTGGCACATTCAGCCCCTCTGCAGAAGAGGGTCATCCCCTGCCCTGCAGGCAGACTCACCCGGCATGGCGGGGACCGTCAGAAACATATCGGTGCTGGAGACCCACACGCCTGGGGGAGAACCCTTGCAGACCTGCAAAAGGGGCAAGAAGGAAGGGAGCACAAGCAACTGGGCAGCTGCCCCTGGAGGCCTTCAGAAGGGAGAGACAAGTCCAGTTGCCCAGATTATCCTCAGACATTCAGGGCTGCTTAGCATGGTTGAGGCTTTGTGGGTATTTACTGACTACCTAGATTAATATGTCTGCCCAATCGGCATGCAACTCTGGCCTGCAAATGGCCAATGAAGTGATCACAATAACCATTAAAAAAGAGTTAAAAGACCAGGAAGCCATCATCATACCAAATGGGCCCACCCCTTCGGAAGGCCAGGACCAGTAGTGGGGTCCACTTACCTTCGCTACCAGTTTGGAACTCTGAGCGCCCGTGATGACGTCCGGGTGGGTGGGCGGAGCCTCCTGCCACCGCTGCCACTACCAGTTCACCCAAACTGGGGCAAACCAGTAGAAACCCACCACTGGCCAGGACCATCCAATTCCAGAGAGAGGCACACGGTTCCAGAGGGTAACTGCTGCAACAATGGAGACTCGCTTCTTGGGCCTTTCTATGTGACCCCGGATAAGAGAGAGGAGCCCGGGCACGCTTCCCCCCGGGCCCCATGGGAGGAGCCCAGCAACAGAAGACAGGCACTCCCACCCAGAGCTGTGCCATGAAGGGTCTGGCAGGCGAGGACCACCCCCTGAATGCATCTGAGGTCCTCTGACAGCCAGTGCAGCTTTTGAAGCCAAGGGGGCCACATGGGGGGGACTGAGACACACCTGGCACTGCATTTTGGACCCCCTGCAACTTTCAAGTAGTCTTCAAGGATGGCCCCATTGCAACCCCCAAATGGGAGATAAAGAATCCATGAGTGACACCAAACAGGATCTCCTAGTCTTGAGGAGGGGTCTAATTCATAAGTGCAGGTGGGACCCCCCCCCCCAGCTTAAGGATGAATTCACCGTGACTTTGACCCAACTACTGTCATCTCCTAGGAGCTTAACCGGTCAGGATGGATGGATCTAAAGCCCAGGTGGCTGAACTAAGAGCCAAGAAGATCCTATGGGACCAATTGGCTTCTCCCAGATCTCCAGGCAGAACCCTGCCTCCATAGAAGTCCAGGAGTTCCACTGGATTTCCACAGCCAGAGTAGATCTGAGGCGCTTTACCCAGTAGATGCCTAGAATATTTGTCCCAGCAGCCCTGCAGTGATCTGACTCCCCTTCCCTCAGGAGGAACTGAGTCATGGGGGCCGTCGGTCGGATACTCCTTCACAGTGGGTGACATTTGCTCTTCTTTCTCCAGCAGCCCTCCGTCTCTGCCACTGATTCACCTCTCAAGATCTCCTCCAAAGCCTGGGGAGTAGTGGGAGGGGAGTCCAGTTTGCAGGACCCGCAAGCAGAGAGAAGCCCCAGGCCAGTATTGTCCAATCATGCCAGAGTCTCAGGAATCCCTCTGGACTCTAACAGGATCCATTTGGAGCCTGGGACAGCCTGGTCCCAATGCCCTACAGATCTCCCAACACGACACACCACCAAACGGTGATCTCATCACAACAAGTTAGTGATGTTAATATTCTCCATCTCCAGATCTCATCGCTGCTGCCTCAAGATAAAAACAGATCCAGCGCATGGCCATTACTGGGATCCCCAGATTACAAATGCCAACTTGGCAACAGATCCACAGTTCTGGCATGGAAGCCGCTACCAGCCTAGCCCATTTCGCAAGCAGGGGCGCACAACCAGTTCTCTGCAGAGCAAACCGTGATGACAGACTCGCCCCCCCACTCCGGGCAGATGGTCAGCACCACACTCAACACTTCCAAGGGCAGACCTCTGAGAGAGAAGTGTCCCCCAAAGTATGGCTGGCCTCCACCCTGCTACTTTTCCGAAGAAGAATGTGGTTTTGTCAGCTGGCCTGGGGACCACGAACGGAGATGGAGCCAAGTGAGCGGCTGATTCTATTGTGCTGTTGATTTATTGATTTATTTGAAAAAATTATATTGCCACCTACATGCTAACGGCAACTCAAGATGGCTTATCTATATCTATGTATATATATATATATATATACGATCCAGCATAACTCTGGAACGGCTCAAGCAATTTCAACCAAACTTGGTACACAGATGACTTACTCTCTAGAAACAAATACTGTGGGAGTAAGACACTCCTCAGTGTGTGTGTGTGTGTGTGTGTGTGTGTGTGTGTGTGTGTGTATTCCAGCATAACTGGAGCACCTCAAGCAATTTTAACCAAACTTGCTACACAGGTGACTTACTCTCTGGAAAAAGTACTGTGGGGGTAAGACACCCCGTGTGTGTGTGTGTGTGTGTGTGTGTGTGTGTGTGTGTCTGTGTCTGTGTCTGTGTCTGTGTCTGTGTCTGTGTCTGTGTCTGTTCCAGAATAACTCTGGAATGGCTCAAGTAATTTCAACCAAACTTGGTTCACAGATTACTTATCCTCTGGAAATAAATACTGTGGGGGTAAGACACCCCTAACACCTCTCAGGTGTTTGTATGTGTCTGTCTGTGTCTGTGTCTGTGTTCAACCATAACTCTGGAACACCTCGAGCAATTTTAACCAAACGTGCTACACAGATGACTTATTCTTTGAAAAAAAATACTGTGGGGGTAAGACACCCCTAACACCCCTTGGGGTGTTTGGGTCTGTGTCTCTGTGTGTGTGTTTGTTCAACCATAACTCTGGAACGTCTGGGCTGCTGAAATGAAAAGGAATGAATTATATCTATAGTGTCAAATCACAGTACTTTTGACAATGATAGTGTGCATTTTGTATTCAAGTTCTGTTAAGATACAGCCTGTTGTGCCTTAAAATGGCTTCTAGTGTACATCAAAATGGAGTTGCCATGGTAACGGCTTCACAATAATCCACAAGGGGGCTCCCTCTGGTAAGAGGGAATGGTTCTTATACAAACAAACAAACAAACAAACAAAAAATAAACCCCCTGGGCCCTCAGCTTCCAGCAAAGAGGGCAAGTTGTCGGGGGAGGTGCCTGCTAATGCAGATAATCATCACAAAGGCTGTTCCCTGTAGAATTTTTCCCAGGCTGTTGGCCAGGGCAATTAGGTCTCTAATTCTCACAGTGAGCGATGGCTTTTCCTGTCTAATACAGGATTGGGATAAATAAATACCCGGGCAATGCCGGGTTATCAGCTAGTAGGAAATAAAAGCACATTAGCCATTTAATGGGTTCCATCCCGCTCTGGGTTCCCCTGGACTGCTGACAGATCCACGTCTTCAGGGCCTTCTGAAAGAGTGGGGACCAGTCTAACTTCCGGAGAGAGGGAGCCACCACAGAGAAGGCCCTTCTTCTGGGTCCCACCAGATGTACCTCCTTAAGGGGACGGGACCTACAACATTCCTTGCCTCCCCACTCTAGTGGGAAAGGTGGATGTGACCGGCAAGAGATGTTTTGCAGTTGCAGTTGCCGGAGAGTGGGGCAGGGGGCTTTATCACATGATGGATTTTTAAAACTTTGTCAGCCACTCGGCGTCACCTATGTGAGTAAGGTGGCTGTATCAATTTGTTGAATAAATGAACTAAGTCTTGCCTTGTGCCCAGCCAGGTCACCTTATGCAGGCCTGGTTGCCCGCTTGCTGTTTTCCAGTTTTCCAGCTCCCAACCTGCCAGGGGTGGGCCTCCTTTTAAAGTATGTCAGGCCTGACTCGTGAGGAGCGCCTCTAACTGCCATCACAGACATCCGATCATGTCCCTGTTTCTAGCAGAAGTCAAACCTGGACGCTTCACGGCTCCTGTTCGCATCACGTCAGGTGTACAGACGGTGGGTTGCAGCCTCCTCTCCTGGAGGGACCCCAGAGAGCAGAGACTCTCCCTGGCCCCTCTCAACCCTTGCCTAAGGGAGGGCGGGTCTCTCTGCAACTGCAACCCCCACTCTCCTCTGGGCAGCAGGCAACTCTGTCTGACCTTCACTCCCCAGCAGTGGGACATCTCCCCCCACCACACTCACCCGCTCTGTCAAGGTGGCCAGAAGCCTGTCCAAGTGGCAGGCAAGCGCCTCAGTGGGGGCCGCAGGGTCTTCGAGAGGGAGGCAGAGAAATGCACGGCTGCAGTCATCGAACAGAAAGTCCCGGCCCTGGGGGGAGGGGAACATGTCACTGGATGTCCCCACTAGGAGGGAGCAAGCCTAGGAACCCACAGGCTCAGTCAGCCCCAAGCCCTACACACCAACGTGTGTATGTGTGTGTGTGTGTGTGCCCGCGCGCATGTCCTTGGCTACAGGGACAAAGTTGGCAGGAGCTGCAAGGCTACCCAACAGCAGGTCAGCCCTTGAGGAGCAGCAGAAGCAGCTGGGGCAGGCAGGGCCAACAGCCTGTGTGTGTGTGGTAGGGGGGATCCATGTCAGTCTTGGCCTTCAGGGCTACCATTCTGCTATGATCTCTAACTGAGCCTTTGCTCCTTTTCTAAACTGACCTGCTTCCGATTCTCCAATACGTTTGGGAGTGGGGTGCTCCTTTGGCCTGACCAGAGGCCCAAGGCAGCATATGCTGCCTGGCAGATTCCTCATCCCCCCCCACACCTGGAAGCAAGTGCATGCTCCCCCATTCTCTAGTGGAAGCCAGGAACCTGCCTCTCCCCAGACAGGCTAAGCAAAGGTCCCACAAACAAAAACCCAGCAAAGCAGAAAGAGATTCTCTGCTCACCATGTGCAAGACAAGAATCCTGGCCTCTTGCAAGATGTCAGCAGTGACCACCTGGAGCAGCAGATAGGAGAGAGACCCGGATGTACTTGGGCCAGAGGCAGCTCCCATCCCAAACTGAGATCCAGGTATGGTGGAGAGGGGGTGTCTCACAAATGGATTCCAAGCTCAACTGGGTCCCCAAACCTGTTGGGGGCCCAGCTAAGCTGAGAAGCAGGAGCTAAGAGGCAGGCGAGCTGGGAGTAAGGGAGGAGATGTCGGGGTGCTTACCGTGTAACCTGCCTGAGCACTCAGGTGTTCTGCTGCCACCAAGAGGGCATTGAGGGTAGCCCCTCCACTGCCCACCTGGGCTTTGGGGTCTTCCACAGTGAGCAGGATGGTCTCCCGGCCCAGGGAGCCTCTCTCTCTGCGGATCTCCAGCTCTGGAGGCAAACAAAGAGGAGAGAGCGGAAGTGGGCGGCCTGAACTTTTAGCAAGAATAAGGAGCCGCTTGGGACGTGGGGTGGACACAGGGCAGCCAGGCTGGACCAGACCAAGCATCCTCTTCCTCCCGGACGATTCCCTTTGGTAGGGACCAGCCAGAGCCTCAGACATTATTTTTTATTATTATTTATTAAATTTTTTATACCGCCCTTCTCCCGAAGGACTCAGGGCGGCAAACAGCCAAGATTAAAATGCACACAATATGAAAATTAAAATAATTTAAAACATGATTAAATTAATTTGGCTTCCCCAATTTAAAACCCCTTACCCATAAAATTAACCTGTTAAAACTTTGAAGCCAGCCTGTCTTGCTGAAATAGAAAAGTCTTCAGGGCCTGGCAGAAAGTCCGGAGGTCCGGGATCAGTCGTATCCCTGGGGGGAGCTCGTTCCAGAGGGCCGGTGCCCCCACCGAGAAGGCTCTCCCCCTGGGGGCCGCCAGTCGACATTGCTTGACCGAAGGCACCCTGAGGAGACCCTCTCTGTGGGAGCGGATTGGCCGGTGGGAGGCTATGGTGGCAGGTGGTGGTCTCGTAGATCCCCGGGCCCTGAGCCATAACAGCAAGCAGGAGACAGAGACCCCCACCCACCTCCAACATGGGCTCCGCCCCAGCGCCAGAATTGCCCCATTCATCCTCTTTAAAAGCCCGGGGGAAGGGGCCTCCCTTTGGCCTGTTGGGGATCTCCTCCAAGCGGCCCCCGAAGGCTGCTTCTCCTGCGGTGCGCCTTTGCTACCTGCACGCTCCTCCCAAACGGCCTCCGTGCCCAGAGGGGCTCCAGCCGCGGCCGAGGTGCCTCCCGCCTACAGAGCGGGGCTGCGGGAAGGAGAAGCGTCCCGGCCTTCGGACCACCCGAAACGGACCGGCGCCGCCGCCAACGTGGCCGGCCCTGCTTGCCCAGACCAGGTTCGGGGGAGCCGGGAACCCAGCTGCCCCCCCGGCCCGCGCCCTGAGCTGCCGCTCCCGAAGCCGCGGGGCGTCGTCCCTTCCCCTCACCTCGCTGGAAGGCGAAGGCGCTGTCCCTGTGCTGGCAGGTCAGGACCACCGCCGTCCAGTCTGCGGCCATCCCGCCCGGCAGGGCCGCCCCACGGGCAGCGGCGTTCAGGGGGCCTCGGAAGCGGCGGCCGGCCAAGTACAGCGGCCTCACGCTGGCCCTTTAAGGCGCTGGGCAGGCCGGGAAATGCAGTCCGCCGCCCCGAGGCGGAGCCGCTGGAAGGGAGGGGCGAGCGGAGGGGCGGGAATGCACGAGCCGCACCCCCGCCCCGTCGCTCCGTTCCCCGGGATCCCTGCCCAGCGCCCCCCCCCCCTCGCCAGGCAAGCTTCAGAAAACCGGCCACATCCCGCCCTCCGGCTCGCTCCGAAGATGAACGCGGAGAGTCGGATGAAGAGGTGGAAAAACGCCCGGCCGGCGGTTCGTGCCTTGTTTCCTCGACGCCCGCGGCCACAACGAGAGGCGCTGCTTCCCCAGCCTGGCCCGGCTGCCTCGGGCGCCGGGGCTTCCCGACGGGGGAACGGGCGATGCGTCCCATAGCGGCGTCCCCCCCCGCCGCCCAGTTCAGCCCAGGGTGGCTCCGCCCAGCCTACCCGACGGGGACCCCGGACGAGGCACCGCCGGAGCCGAAGGCTCGCCCGGCACGCAGGGCGGTTCTGGGCTGAGCCCTGCCCGAGTGCTCGAGCCGACCGCGCCTTCCCGTGGTTTAAGGGAGCTCGGAGTTTGTCCGCGAGGTGGGAACTCGGCTTCTCCGAGGGAGAGGCAGGAGGCGCCGGGGGAGCCCCAAAGACCAACTCGGCCTGGCCGCCTCCAGCAGAGCACCCTCGGGAAACCGCCGCGGGATTGAACGGCCCCCGGCCCGCCTCGCCTCCCTTCCGCGGCTTCCCCCATTGCAGACGGACGCCTATCCGGGACGCATCTGGCAGCGGCGCTCGGGCCGGGAGGGGCGCCGCGCATCCTCCAGCCCAGGCGGAGCGGAGGTGCCCTCGCCCCAGCAGAAAGGCCGGCCGAGGAGGGGGCTTCCCCGGCCAGGGTCGCCGTCTGGGCCGCGCCGGCAGCTGCCCTGCGAGGCCGGGGGCCTGGGGAGCCGCGCTCTCGGGACTCGGAGCCCAAAGCGCCGCGCGCCAAGTCCGGCCGGCTGCGGGGCGGGACTCCAGACGGCGAGCGGCCGCCGCGGGGTCGCGCTTCCTCCCCTCGCTGCGCTGCTTGGACGGGAGGCCGGGCTGGCTGGGACCCGCGGGGCGTCGCTTCCCTCGGCCGGCATCGGCGCCGGAGGCAGAGCAGCCCGGCCCCCGCCCGCTGACCCCCGATGCAGGAAGCGGAAGACCCCCGCCCCGCGCCCTCTCCTCCATCCGGGCTCGCGCCGCGCCCTTCCCCGGCGGACGGCAGCTCCTCGCCGCCTCCTCGCTCTCGGCTGGCTGCGCGGCGGCGGCGGCGGCGGCGGCGGCGGCTCTCCGGTAAGCGGGGCGAGCGGGGGAGGTGGGACCGCGGCTGCCTTCGCGGGAGAGATGCCGCCTGCCTTCTCCGCTCCCCGCCGAGCGCCCGCACAGCTCGCGCGCCGCAGCTGCAGCCGGCGCAGGAGGGCCGCGGAGGCTCGGGCTGCGGGAAGGGGCGCCGCGCCTCTGGGGGGCTTGGCGCGGCCGCTGAGACGGGCCGGCGGGAGGCGAGGTCCGCGGCGGATCGCGAAGGCCTGGCGGGGCTGGGCGGGGAGGGGGGTCCCGGTCCGGGCGGCTGGGCGTCGGCGCTTGCGAGCGGACGGAGCCTCTTTCCCGCAGCCCCCGCGCGCCTTGTCCGGCCTCGGAGGCCCCCCGGCCGCTTCCCCCAACGGCCCCGGGGATCTGGTGGCGTCTCGTTGCTGCGCTTCCCTTTTGTGCCGGGGAGAAGGGGCTGCCCGGCAGATGATGGGCGAGGCTGGCGATAGACTTCCAAGCTGGGAGGCCATAATGGCGATGTGGCCCAGAACAGCATTGAAAGCCATGCTCGCCCCCAGGGAAGAAAAAGGAAGAAAAGGCTGCTGTGAGGGACAGACCACAGGGAAGGTTTTGGAGCTGAAGATGTTGTAGATCAGGGGTCACCAACCTTTCGGACCTTGGGGACCACTACATTCATAATTTTAAATCCCACGGACCACTGGTTGGTGACCACTGTTGTAGATGATGCACTTGCAAAAAAGTGTGTATGTGTGGCCGTTTGGCTGGCAGACTGGCTGGTGGAGTAGCGTGTGCCTCGCTTAGCCTGTGTATGAAGGCTGTATCTGTGTCATTGGGAGAATGCTGTAATTGTGACATTGCACAAATAGAAAATTATCATGTGTTAAACGTTGATGGAAAAGTATTAGGCAGAATTCTGCTTAAAGGTTCCAAGAGGCAAAATGAACATTTGGGCAGGGCAGATTTATGCCTGGCAGGGGTTGTGAAATACCTAAATGTGACTTGGGTGCTTGTGAAATACGGTATTAAGCAGAATGCAGATCTGAAAATTAATCTGAGACTACAGAATTTGTGTTTGATAGGGAAAATATAATAAACGATTCACCATAAATACAGAAAAACTAAGAAATGAATTTGTATCCCTTAGTGAAGATGGGAAAAGGGGTACATCAATTTTAAAATGGGCAAATAGTTAGTAGGGTAGTTTGTGATTTGTGGCATGGAATGAATGCTTATTACTGATTAATCAAATTGGTACAGCTGCCCAGACGAAGGGAACTTGAGGTCCCGTGCAACAGTGCCCTGCCCCCCAGCTGAAGAACATGAAGCTTGAACAAGGGGGAACCTCCAGCCAACAGACTTCCCCTTTCCCCAAAGAGCTGCATACACACATTACACTAAATCATGGGTTTGGTGTTTTGAATAAGCCACAATACTTTTTTCATACAACACACTAAACCATAAAGTATGGTTTGCACATCCCGTTGGCTAACACAAAACCAAACAGACTGGATTAAATCTTATTAACTGGGTTTACAGAACAACGCTGTGGTGTGTTTTTTGGTTTTACCTTTGCAATTAGCCATGGTTCACAGCGTGGATGTCTGTGGCAGGGAGAAGTGACCAGACGTGTCCCCCACCTCACAAATTTATGTCCAGCCTCAGGTTTCAGGTCCAAAAGGGCAAGGTTTGCATCCTGAAACCCTGATCTGTTTTTCACCTTTGCGGCAGGCTCTGCTAGTTCAGAGAGAAGATCCTGAAGCCCAGAGGCTCCTCTTTGGACCCACAGCAGCAAACCCCCTTCTGCCCCCTCCCCCGTGTGAACTGGATGCTCAAGTGAGGTGGTGCGTATGTGAGGGTGGCTGAAGCTTCCATCATTCTCCTTATTTTTAATCCAGGAACAAGATGAAGAGTGTGAATGCAAGTTAAAATAACAAATAAAGTAACAAAATTAGTATTTAAGTTTAATCCCTCACCCCCTTTAATTTTTAATTTTAATGTTTTCTGTTTCGCAAATCTTTTTGTACCAGAGTTCTCTTTGTGGTTTCCTACCCTGCGGGGACTTCCGTTTCTGTCCTGGTGGAGAAAATATGGTTCTGCTCCTGTACAGCCAGCCTGGAGCGGTGGGGGTGGGGGGCGTGAGCTGGAGGACAAGGAGGGCCTTCCTCTTCATTCTGGCCCTGGTGGGATTCAGCCAGATTCCAGAACCCCCATGAGCTTCCTCCCCATCCGGAGAGCATAGCGGGGGAGGGGCAAATCCCATAATTTTTCCCTTCCTGACAGCCTGGGTGGAATTTCCTGTTGCCTGGGGCAACCAGCAAATAGAAAATTGGGCCTGCGTGGTTGTCTCCGTTATTTTGTACAGCAGAATTAATAATTTCTTAATTCTCCTTTGGATTGTGCACAATCTTTTCTCTTTGCCATCCAAAGGTGCTACTGTTCCTATGGCTGATTTTGGAGCGATCGTGTTTTCAAATAAATGCATTGTGGCTTTAACTATGTCATCAATCTTGTGCTGCTTTCTGTTCACTTTGGCACCTTCCTAACTGTCAGAAGTGTGGGTGGGTGCGACTCCTCCCATGAGCCATAGTCCTTGCATCTCCATTGATCCAGAAAAGTCCACCAGCAAGCAGCCGCCCCCTTTTTGATGACTGGGCATTCCTTCTTCATGTTCAGCACTAAAGCAGGGAGAAAAGGAGAGTCTTCACATGTCTTCTTATGGTCCCACTGTCCCATTGGGCAATGTTAGATGGATGAGGCTGACCTTTGGTAGCCAAACCCATCTTGTCCTGGGACCGAGCCTTGCCTCCTTTTTTCCTTCTGATTTTCTAATCCATTTAATCAGAAAAGGATAATTTATATTTTATTAATAAAAGCATTTATTGTTCAATCTTAGGTGGCTTCTAAGCCAGAGAATTAATATGACCATCATTTTTTTAGTCCTTTTTAGTACTGTAGGATGTTTGATTTTTGCCCTGTGCTGGGTTGCTCTTCTCCTTCAATTGTCATATTTATGGCTTACGCCAGTAGTCAAGCACTTGCAAAGTCACGGAAGACCTTTGGCACTGATAGCCATGCTCTTTACCTCACCAAGTCAGACAGGAATAGGGCAAGGGAATCTCTGGCCTTAGTGGGAGGGGCCCAAGGGGGCCAGCCCAGGTTGGGAGAGCTGTTGGTGTGACTAGAGGTAGCCCAAGTTCTGGTAGGAAAGTCTGTCTCCCCTTCAAGCAGGTCTCCTGGCCAACAAGGCTGCCAGGACCTACAAGAGCTGGGAGGATTTCTGGTTCAGAGAAGCTTCTTTGGTCCA